ACAACACATTCATTTTTCCATACGCAACAAAGTAAGTCAATAACTTATATCATTTATTATTATTCATCTCTTCACCAAATATATGATAAAAATAAAATATTTTTCAATTCCTTTAGGTACTGCGTGAGGGGTATGGATTACAGCAAAAATCCAAGACTCAATGTCGCTCTATGTCGCAATCAATTAGATCACCTTGGCTCGGATGATATACGTCATACCTTTCAACTTTTCTACTTTTAAATTATTTATTCATTACGCTTTTATTAAGCTGATTTAATTTTATCCGCAGTTTATCTGGAGATCATATTTGGATTTGGACCATGAACTAAACTCCGAGGATGCAGCAATTTGGAGCGCAAAGACTGCAATTATAAGTTCAACGTTATGGAGATGCACCACATCGACCGTGTCAAGATGCAGTTTGGAATACATCAAGAGATACCCTATAATCCAACTTGTTTGTCCCCGTGGCATCTCAAAAGGGTCGACGCCTAATGGGGTCTTATCAACTGGAAAGATTTTGCTCCAGAATGGTGTAAGATGTGGCAGAGGCGTCAGCGACATGTCTTGCAATTCCCATTTTTCCTCAACCATGGTAATATGCGACACACATATCAATATTTAGCTTGGTACATATCAGTTAGTAACCCAGAAATGTACGTGTCTCATCCAAGGTATTTGGTTATCCCACGAACACAATTGGAACAACCCTCATTTCCCCAACAACAAACCCAACACATATCAACCTCCCACCAACCTCTCCGATGAAATAGAACCACAAGCACCCAACCACAATCACCACCACAATACGAATACACCCACATGCCCCACAACTAACCACAATCACCACTTCAATACCAATACCCCCATATACCCCACACCCAACCACAATTTCAATCGCAATACCAATACACCCGCATGCCCCACACACAATTCCAGTCTTCTACATATCCCAATATGGGCCTCTCAACATCTAACCTTAGCCCTGATCTAGAATTTTTCGAAGATTATGACCCAACCGACCCAACTTACCATCAACCACCACATCACCAAAGCACCTAACATTCTCAATACCAAATACCCCATGATTCATTTCCTTTCTACCCCTTTACTCAGACGACCAGTGCTATAGACCAACCATGGAACCCCACCCACCACCAACACGACCAAACTTTGAGGGTATGGGTAACCGACTGTACCAAAGCGGATCTTCTAGATATGGAGATATGACCGATTTCATGGATCTAGAACGCATTGGCTTCACTGGACCATTGACTCTGCCATAACAGGAAACACGACGAAACTCACCACGGGAAAGATGAGGACGCGGATGCGGAACCGCGGGTCGTTACCGGGTTCCGGGGGACCACTGCTTATTTTGTATTTTTATGTAATCGTTTTGTGTAATCGTATTGTGTAAATAAAAAAGTCGAATTTTCGTGATCCTATATCGTTTACGCAACGTCCCACATTTAAAATTAAAAACACAAAAAATCACCTCCCCATTGCACTAAGGCGCCATCTCACTTGGCTTAGAACACACATTTAACACCTAGGCGCGAAGTGAGATGACGCCTCCTTTGTGGGGTTTTCTGAAACATGGTTATTTGTGTAATTTTCTCCGAAATATGGTTATTTGCGAAATATTTTTTCAATATCTGGTTATTACAAAAAAAATTTCTCAAATTTGCTCGTCCCATTTTTAAAATATTCAAATAATTTTTAAATTTGGTTTCATAATTTTTTTGGATATTAATAACATTTGGTTTAAAAGTATATTATTTTGCAGATTTAAAATATATAATAATTTATTTTAAATTATTTGTATGTTTAAAATAGCAAAATATTTTCCATCTTCATATGCTTTTATATGTCTTTTTATGTTGAATAGAATGACATATCACAATTGGTAAGAGAGTAAGGTTGCAAGTGGAAGGTCGTGAGTATTTATTTATTTTTGTATATTTTTTACAATAAAAAGGATAAAAAAAATCATTTTTCAATTATTTTATTATTATTTTCGTTTTCTATTCTAAGAGTATTTTAAAAAAAAATTATTTTTTTAAATCTTTGATTTTATACATTTAATAATCAAGATTTTAAAACAATTAAAATCTTTTAAAAATCAATTTTTATTAAATATCAAATCAATCACAATATTGAGAAAAATCATAAAAGTGTCTAGGTTCATAATCTTGTCCTCCAAGTTAAATCAAATCTCAATTTGTATAAATCTTTTTAAAAATAAAACAATTTCATTAAATTTCTGACCTAATTTTTACTTATAAATAGTCCTTTAATTTTCACAAATAGACATCAACAATCTCATTAGCAATTTTTCAATCTCTCACAAACTTTCTTTCTATTGTTAGTTTATTCTAGGGATTTTGTCTTGAACAAAAACCCTATTGTTGCTTTAACGGATAACGACTAACAAATATCCACAATTATTCACAATTTACTACACCATGTGATTCACTTTTAACAAAATAAAATAAAATTCACATACACATATTCATTATCTATATATATATATATATATATATATATATATATATATATATATATATATATATATATATATATATATATATATATATATATATATATATATATATATATATATATATATATATATATATATATATATATATATATATATATATATATATATATATATATATATATATATATATATATATATATATATATATATATATATATATATATATCCTATTTTTTCTAACATTTAACAAATTCATATATATTGTATGTTGTTGTTATTGGTTTTATTATCTGTTTTATAGATCACCACAATTATTGAATGGCCATTTGAATTTTGTGAAAAAGTTGAAAGTGAAAAGTCCACATGAAAGCCAAGGGTCACGCCCTATATCTCTCATCAGGTTTATTTTTTTATTTATTGTGCTAATAATATGATGAATAAATTAGAGTTTAGGAGTAAATGGGCTTTAGGCTTTTTAAAAGTTTCTATCTTTTTACTAACTCACACCACCTTTTCTAACCTACACCTTTAATCCTTTAGTCTTGTTTTCTAATTAACTAGTTGATTAGTTTAAATGTTATTAAGTTAATTAATTTTGATTATTTTAATTTAGTTTACTAAGAAAGAATAAAACACCAAAAAACAATAAAAGTCTCAAAACAAGAATTAATTCTTAAGTAATTTATTAATACAAAAAATACAAAAAATTTATATCTTAATTAATTCATACATAACTTCTAGGATTCTTCAATTAATTCAATACCTGAAACACTTGTGTAAATAATTTCACCACTTGAACCTAAATCAACATTAAATAATTTCTTAAATAAAAGTAATTCAACATTAATAGAAATAATTGTACACCAAAAAACTGTTTTTAATAAAAACTAATTCAAATACTCACCACTTACAAATAATTTAAATCACAAACAAACACGTATACTAATCAAACTTTTTTCTTAATCAATTAATTAATTATTATATTTTTATAAATAAAAGGATATACATCTTCGAATAATTGATTGGTTGGCTTAACGTCGCACCAATTAATTATTCAAATCCAAAATATTAAAACTCACAAATAAGTTAAGGTCAAATTCCTTCACCTAGAACGATCAAATTCAAATAAAGATTAAATCCTTATCGGTCAAGTCAATTTTCTTCTCCTCGAGCGAATTAATTCTAATAAAGATCAAAATTCTTTATTAAGACTCAATCTAATCAATTACTTCGCCTAGAGCGGCTTAATTTTGATGAAGATCCGATCTCCTTCAATGATTCAAACCAATTAAAATAACTAACCAACTATGAAAAATCTTTTTCACTAACAAAAATTCAAGATATTTTCAAAAAAGGATTAAATAGCGTTTTCTTCAAACTTAACTACAAATTGCGTCTACGATCACTCATTTTTATAACCCAGACAAGGTTCAAGGATAATTCGAAAATAATTCTACGCAATCCTATAAAAAACACCAACCAAACTACGAACTACGAATCGAGGCTTTGATTCCTCATAAGAGGATACATAGGTACGCAGCTTAAAAATCAAGGCGAGTCCCCCAACTAAAAAACTAAAACCTCTTTTATTTTTCTAAGCTTTGTAATTATATATCTTTAAAGTAGAAATTCTCATCTTACCCTTAGACCTAAAACACTCAAGGTTACGACACCACATTTTTCCACTAAAGCACTAAAGGTTTCACGATAGATTGAAATTTTTATTTCTCAGAGGTCAATCAAAAGAAACTTGACATAACATGAACACTCGCCCCAAACTACCTCGCAGGGTCTACTTCAGCTCCTTCAGCTGAAGGACTCGCCTCACATTAAAAGAGCCGCCTTTAGCTAAGAGACTCACACCAAACTGAGATATGTTGGGGGGGAGATACTAGGAGCATCGATGTATAGTGTAGGAACAAACACCTTTGTGAGAGGCACACCACTTATCCACCTAAAATTTTAAGGTGATAGGTGAGTGAGTTCTCCCACTTATATATGTTTAAGTCTCCACATTCCTATCCAATGTGGAACTATTTCCCCACTTACTCACACTTGTTATATTATTCCAACAAGATACTCACCTAAAATTAAAAGAGTCACCTTCAGATGAGGGACTTGTCCTAAACTGAGGTATTCGCCTCACGTTAAAAGGATAGAAAGCATTTATTAAATAAAATATTTTAAATTTAATAAATATATTATATTAATATATTAATTTATAAAAAAAATTATTTGATATATATATATATATATATATATATATATATATATATATATATATATATATATATATATATATATATATATATATATATATATGAAATTTATAGAATAATAACTTTTTAATCTCCAAACTTTTAATTAAAAAGCAAAAGTAGTTGAAAAGACTTTAAAGAAAAACAAAGTTACCGGAATGTTTATATCCTATGACCGAAAAAAAAAACTGAGAAACAAACGAGGTGGTACGAGAAAAGTGGGACCTAAACAATAAAAGACAGTCTCTTTAGCCAATGAAGAAGAGACAACGTTTTTCCCAAAACCACCACTATTTCACCAAAACAACCATCTAGATGCTATCACTGGTTTCTCGTTATTTGTCTTTTTTCGCTCTTTTTCTTTTGGAATATGTTATAATAGTGACCACTTATATATTTTCCTTTTTTATATAAAACGAAAAAAAGAACGAAGTAGCTGCGGTTTTTGTGCTCAAACCCCTTCATTTTCAATTGATCATTCATTCATATCACATATTATCAGCACCATAATAAACCATTTATCATATATATTTATAGTGTATGTAGTTATCTAGCTATCTACCTATAGCTTCAATTGATGTTGGTGTGATTTGAAAGAGATAATAAAGATGGGGAGAGGAAGAGTGCAGTTGAAGAGGATTGAGAACAAAATCAATAGACAAGTTACTTTTTCAAAACGAAGGTCTGGTTTGTTGAAGAAAGCTCATGAGATCTCTGTTCTTTGTGATGCTGAAGTTGCTCTCATCGTTTTCTCTACTAAAGGCAAGCTTTTTGAATACTCCAGCGATCCTTGGTAAGTTTTTTTTTATTTTTTATTATTTCTTTCTTCCTATATATGTCTAACTCTAACTTTCATGGTTTCTGTGAAAATATAGAATAGATCTTACATATTTCTGTCTACTATATCTATTTATAACTATATGCCTATTTTCAGTCTAATATTTTATTTGTGCTGTCAATTTTTCTTTCATCGTACTGTATTATCCTTCAACTCTCTCTCCTACTACTTGAATATATTAATATAATAATATAGTATATTATTTTTATTTTTATTTTTATTATTATTATTATTAGAGCTAGCTATTTTTTCTTTAATTTCCTGGAAAAAATTTGTGTTGATTTGTGTAAAGTTACTGGTAGGTGACTTGGTTGATGACTTGATGTGAATGTGTAATTCATATGTCCACTAGATTCTTCATGCCTTGTGTTGTTGTGTATGTGAATTAAAAAAAAAAAAACTAGATCTCTTCTCTCTTTGCAATGTTTAAAAACATGTGGTTAATTGTTTTCTTGCACTAGTATTATTGAAAAGATGGTGGACTGGTGGCATGCAATAATGTCATGTTTTTGTTGCATTTCTTGTTTAAATTAATTTAGTTAAACATAATAAATGATATCTATATTATGTATAATAATTAAAAGAAGAAAAAAAAGTAGAAAATTTTTAAGTTTTTTTAAACTTATTGTGTGTCAGAATAATCAGAGGCTATTCATTTTAGTCTAGGGAAATTGTCAGTTGATGTAACCTATCATTGTATTATCAGAAGATGGGTGCAGCAAGAATTCAAATGGCTCAAATACATGTTATCAAATGTTTATGCTACTATATATACTTCCTAGATGTTGATTCATTATTGCTCCAATCAAATTCAAATGAACACACATGAAAAATATATATACTAGTATCAACATTCTAAATTTTCATTTTATTTATTTATATATTTATCTAACCTTTTGGACATTTTTCATGGAATCAATAATCATAACCCTAAGCTCATTTAGACATTAATTAGAGGATGAAGAACTTTTGTGTCATTGTCCTTAAGACCTTCTCTTTTTAGATATAGATTGTGTGCAATCTCAATATAGTTCAACCTCGTCAATAGTTGTTAGATCATAACAATTATCAATGTGGTTGACTCAACTATTGAATATTGATAGTCCTATTTTTCTCTTCTTTGTTAAACTTGAAGCTAACTAGTTTTTCTGTTGTTAATTTTCCAAGTGTTGTAATCAATACATGAAATATTTGCTGACTGTTATTTTTGTTTTTTGTTAACAGTATGGAAAGAATTCTCGAACGATACGAGAGATATTCATATACGGAGAGACAGCTTGTTGCTAATGATCAATCACCAAATGTAGGCCTTCATCTTCTCTCAATGAACTTTGAACTCATTTTTAGTTGATGGTTAGATATAAAATTATGAAACTCACCCTTGAACTTGTTAAGTGTTATCCAAGTAACACTCGCATCACTGAACAAATGCATGTCTGAAATTCAATATGTGTCCGGGTTCAACCCTAACACATAATATGTTTCTGTCGAGTTATAAGTTAGGAACAAATTTCATTCATAAGTGTTAACAAGGGGTTTAATTTTAGTCTTTAATGACAAATTGTCCACACATCATTAGTCTATAAATTTTTTTTTACATAGAGTAATGTAAGTAAAGGCTGACCGATGATTGTTTGATCTACGATTTTAACTCGGATTCTTTTGGATGATCCGTTCTTATTTGAAGCTCACTAAATACTTTACTTTAAAAATCAAAATTTACTTATCTGCATGCACTCATATTGTTAGGAAAACTGGGTTCTAGAACATGCAAAACTGAAAGCTAGGGTGGAAGTACTTCAGAAAAATCAAAGGTACTACTAAATATTCTTACAAGCAAGATGAGTCTGTGCTGTTGTGTAATATAATATACAATGGCAAGTGTTGTTGTGGCTTTGTTTCAGGAATTATATGGGAGAAGAGTTGGATGGGTTAAGTCTCAAAGAGCTTCAGAGTTTGGAACAACAACTTGATTCTGCTCTCAAACACATTAGATCACGAAAGGTAAAAGCTAAAGTAACCACCTTTTTTCGTTTGTAAGGTCTGTCACCGCGAAAAAGGTATCAGAAAGCTCCGATATTGATTATGTTATTCACCGTTTTTATGAAGAAAAATAGTTGTTGTTAATTCACACTGCGGCGATTACAATAAAAATTGCAAACCTGTGTCGACCAAAATCGTGAAAGTCTTTAGCGTTAATTGAAACCTTGATTTTATGCATGTATTGAATGGTATGGTGACTTAGTTTGGGTTTTCAAATGCAGAACCAAGTCATGTATGAATCTATTTCAGCACTTCAGAAAAAGGTGTGTAATGTATTCCACTAAATCTTGTCATCATGCATGGTAACATAATGATTCATGTTCTAGAATAAAATTGACCAAAAGTTATGAATAGTCATATATCATTATTTGGATGAACTTTTATGTACTTGCATTCTACATGATACAGGATAAGGCACTCCAGGAACATAACAATTTGCTCGCAAAGAAGGTAATGACATTTTTCATCTTTTAATTTTGTTTCATCTGTGAAAATTCTAGTGTTTGGATTTGGATAATCTGACACTCTATGAAAACATGATTTGAGTAATAACCAGATAAAAGAAAAAGAGAAAGAGCTTGCTCAAGAGGAGCTGCAAAATAGCATGGAGGTGGCTCCAATTGAAACTCAACCATTAGAATCTATGATTGCAGGGTTAGTCTCTTTTCTGTGATATAAACTTGAAAACAAGATTTTAAAAAAGTTCATTTCCTGCAAAAACGGCCGTGACAAAACCGTATCAGATAGTGTGAATACTCACTGTTTTTATCATAAATCTGTCTTTTTATCACAAAATATATTGGTTGATTAATGCAGACGGTCCTTACAAGAAAGTTGCAATGAAGAAACTGGAGCAGAAACTCGAGGTAGTGCGATTCTTCCGCCATGGATGGTTCGTCCTATAAATGAATAGATGAGAGGACATTTACACTGTATCTGTTTTCATTATTAAAAACACAGATACAGGTTGTTGTAGGAAGCTTATAAATATACAAATTGATCAATATAGACATATGAGGGATCAATTGAAGGATCAATGATGAGGACTCAATACCTGTACTTTAGTTGTGTAATCATGGAACATGTTTGACTCAATTTCAATGTATGCTGCTGAGAAAAGGCCATTGTAAATTGGTCTAGCTATAGATACAAGGCTATATTGTATAATGTATACATATAAATTGAGTATTGTTTGTGGTTATGTTTAAATATAAGGATTATAAAGAGATACTTGTTTTCTTTATGTGCATTCTTAGGTCCATTTATAATTCTTAGGGCTACTTTACTTTATAGAATCAATTCAATAATATCAAGTAAAAACAATATTACACGCCACAATAACTCAATAATCATAAAAATCAATAGTTTAGTTTAAAACTCATAAATCATAAGAGGTTGATCTCCGATTGTTAATTTAGAGAAAATTAGCTACTCATAGTAATAAGAATTTAGAAAATTATAGATTTACAATTGATGAGTAAAAAATGTCATTCTTGACGTTTTCAAGAATTAGAATCACAACTATTAACTATCAAAATATATTTATTTGTTGTTTAAGCCTAAAATCTTATTTATTTAGTCTCATTTATAAAATAAAAAAAAATTTATATTCATTAAATACTTAATATATTTGATTCATATATTATTCAAATATATTGATATTAGTTATTTAATATATATGACTTTGTGTGAGAGAGAATCCCCATTGGTTGATTCTAATACTTTGTTTATGACTTTGCATCATTTAAGCTTCTATAGTGTTATCTGTCTTGATCAATCATCTTGTCAAACTAACAATTGAAAATAGAAAACACTATAAAGGTTTCTGGTTAGAGAGATTGAAAGCATAATTAATCAATCAATCAAAGTATCATGATCCACAATATTGATTAAAAGTTATACTAAAATTTCTATAAAACATCATAAGCATGTACAATAAAGTCTTCAAAAAATCATTCAATAATTGAATATGTGTAATGGTGTGGTGAATAAAAAGTTGAAAGTGAGATAAATAATTGGTGTCCAAAACATTTAACATGTTGAATAAGGAGGGAGTGACCCCACATATAATATTTTGCAAAATCTTATTAGTTGTTGTGATTATTTAGATTTTTAATTCACCTTGATTATTTGGAATTAATTATTTTATAATAAATTAATTATTTATTTATTTTTATTTTCACTAAAATTCATCATTTTTTTTGTTTATAAATAAAGATTTAGTTTATTTGATTTGGACACAAAAAAAAAATCATTTTTTCTCTTTATTTTTGCTATGTGATGTGAATCTTGTATGTATGGAAGTATGTGAATGTATGGGATTTGGATTAGATGTGTATTGTGTTGGTTAAATGATGCCAGACAGTATGAATTTTGCATAGATGCATGTACTTGGTATATGGTTTTTGTGTCATGAAATTCTTGAATTGTGCTGGTGTGTTGGAGTTATGATGATGCAAGTTAGTTGACATTGGTGTTATTGTTTTTCTTGCATGTTTCCATGTTTGGATGTGCATTGACGTTGTTGTTTAAGTTGGAATTGACGTGACCCTGATGTGATGGTGACTGTTCTGTTTGTACAGGTTCACATACTTGGTGATGAGCAGATTTGTAGGTGGTGCAGTGATAATGCTTTATGGTAATAGCAGGTTGATGGAAATGACACTAACACAGCAGGTTGAGGCATTGACATTGTCATAGAGATGCTGCAAGGGGTTTATGTTTGGCACAATAACATGGTAAATGATGGCCAATGCTCATGGTTGGAGTATGGTTGGAATAAATATGGGGTTTAGCAATGTACTTGTGAAAATTTGAGGATAAGAGTAGGATACTTAAGTCTAGGGTCAAAATATGGTCAAACTTGGTCAACATTTGACCAAAAGTCAAAGTTTTATTTTCCTTTAGTAATTTCTATTCTCGTAATATGTCCTCTGAACTTTATGATATTTGAATTAAACTTGAATTTTGACTATGCATAACTTATCTTCTAAGTAACAAAATATTTTCTCTCTGCTATGCACTTATTTAAATTTAAAATTTTGTCAATTTTGTGATGTTGAATCAAAGCATCCAATGAGATGTAAACCACCAAGACTTAATATGGACTTTTGGTCACAAAGTCAACCTTTCAGGATTAACTTTGACCATAGGTCAATGCTTTACCAAATGAATTTTAAAGTTGAGATGATTCATGAAAACACAAAGTAAACTCCAATTAATTCTTTGCATGAAATCCACAACATATCTTGTAACCCAAGTAATCAGATGAAAAACCTTGAATCCATGGTGTACAAATCTCTTGTTGTGGAATGAATCCAAATGAATCCACACCTTTCTCTTGCATAAGATCCAAAGCCAATGGCTTATAATTCAACACTACGCCAAAAACTGCTTTTTGCAGCGCCTCTACTAAAGCGCTTATTGAAAAAGCGCTGCCATAGCCTTCACAAAAAACAAAATTAAAAAAAGGGAAACCTACGAAGGCGCTTTTTTAAAAGCGCTGGCATAGGTGGGGGATACGAAAGCTCTTTTTTAAAAGCGCTGGCATAGGTGGGGGATATGAAGGCGCTTTTTAAAAAGCGCTGGCATAGGTGGGGGATACGAAAGCGCTTTTATAAAAGCGCTGGCATAGGTGGGGGATATGAAGGCGCTTTTTAAAAAGCGCTGGCATAGGTGGGGGATACGAAAGCGCTTTTTTAAAAGCGCTGGCATAGGTTAGTTAAATAATTTCTAAACCCCTAAATTTACAATCAGATTTCTAAACCCAGCTGATACAAAAAACGAAACCCAGTTGTTCATCTTCTTCTCCATTCGTCTGCTCCTATTCAAGCTCTCTTCATCCTTCGTCGTCCTCACTTTCATAACAACCTTTGAACCTTCGTCGACCCTTCCCATCCACTGTTCATCCCTTCGTCGTCCTCTCACCATTACCCCCCGCCTCGCATCAACGACACAATCACCAACACCAGCAGCCTCCTCCGTTGTAACTCCAAACGCCTAGCACCATCACCTTCGAATCTTCGGCCCACGACTAATTCAAATTTTCAATCCAAGTAAGTGTTCATATCATTAAAGCCTGTGCTTCTGTAATTGTTGTTTTTGGTGTACATCGTGACTAGAGTGTTTGATTCTATTGTGTTGTTTTTATGTTGTTGGTTTGGTTGGTGATGAGTGATTATGGATTGGGGTTTTGATTCTGGGGGTGTTCTTGCAATGAGAATGTTATGAAGCTATATTGCACTGGTGTTTCGCTGTACTGTCCTGAGAAGTTGTATATATCACCACTGTTGGAAGTTATGACCGAGGTGGAATATAGTGATATTTTATTTGAAAATACGAAAATGTGATCATTGGATATCAAACCAATGAACACTCCACTTTTCATTGGATTTTACAACTGCGTTTATATGTTGTGGACTATACAATTTTTACTATGACTACTTATGTGTGGTGGAAATCTAAAACGTTTACTATAACAACCTCGTTAGCACGAACCTCTAACCATAGTAAAATTCGTCTCCCAATAGTGGTAAAAAGTATATTTTGTAATAGTCTGGATAATATTCTTCATCCTTTCCTCTGTCATCTCTCTTGAGTTTTCAGAATCATTAATTACCTTATAGCATGACTTAATTGTAATAAAGTCCCTTGCATAGTTCGATATCCACACAAAATCATCCTTTTTCTCGGGACTTGGACGCAAAGAAAAAATTGCAATCCATTTGTTCTTGCAAAACCTTTATGTTCTTGCCATCTCTTAATTTACATGCTATGTTTTTTGTAAACCAGTTCATACCACCTACACAATCAACTCCAATAGATAGCAGATCCCTCTACATAGAGAATCTTTTCAGCCACACATAGCTTCATCACCATTTAAAATTTTCAAGTTTAGCCTTGCTGATAGTCTATCATTTCCATTTGCATAATATAGCCTTGTTGAAAAACTTTATGCTCTTCACTCCTATATTCTTAATAATCAAATTCTAATGTGTGCTTCTACTTTGATTTGATCCTACTGGTTACACCATAAATTTAAACGTGAGAAAAGTAGATGTTGCCTGCTTGAAGATATTACTAAAATTTATTCCATACAACTTTCTTTTGTAAAAGTTAAGTCGCAACCCTAAGACTAGTTCAAACCCACCTAGTACAATTTTGATGCTCCATAAATTTTTCCATGATCCCTTACCTACAAAGATAGTATCGTCTATAAATTGTAGAATTTCATAATTAACATTTTAATTAACTTTAAATACCATAAATTCTCCAATGTTAACAACATTACAAACTGGTCCTGTTGAACCTTAAGCTACGATCCAGAATAAAAAATGTGATAGTGGATCACATTGATTGAAATAGTAGTAGTTGAAAACTTTATAACTCCTACAACCATTACTTATAAGATTTCTGATAAATATACGATGACTCTCTTACTTTGTGTATTTTGTGTGTTGCTCTTGACGTGGCATGGATGGTGATGATTCAACCAATAGAATAATATAATCTAGAAGAGACACTATGAACATAACACAATATTTCACAGGGAGAAAGAATTAGCTGCTGTTAAGATAAATCAGCCCACGTCTGAGTTTAGAAGGTTCAGCTCTTTGAGAATATGATATAGAACAGGAAACACTGTTATTCCTAAGTACCCTGCTAAGATTAAAAGTGTTTTGATTTGGATGACCTAATCCTAGGTGTCATAGAGAATAAGATCTAGGTGACAACCTGTCGGAAATACTAGTATTAGGAGTAAACTAAGAAATAAAAGCATTAGTATGTGGATCTATACTTGGTCATGAGATCTGGAGTTTAATGTTGGAGAACTCATAAAGACCACTAAAGCATACTGATCATTGTAGGAGAAGAACATTAATGACTTGAAATTTAACAATACATTGATTAGGA